TAACATTGTTTGCCAACCGCCAAAAACTAACCAAGAAGAAGAAGAATAATTTGGGAACTTTTTGACAATTATTTGTTGGACTTTGAACAAGGCGGATATTGGCATAAACTGGTATGTGAATGGTTCAGATGGATGTTTTCGAGTTGAAAATAAATTGCACTCCATAATTATGTTGACAAGAGGCTATTTGGTTTGAATTAGAATATAATTTTAAATATAACCAAAGACATAAATTGGTTAAATTAAAATAAACTGGCTATTAATTTTGTTGTATAGCATTACAATATTAATATGAAGTTAACTGAAGTTTTGAGACATTTTAAAATATTTTTATTTTTCCAAAGTGCATCTGACTTGGCAGGTGGGGGGGGGGATTGCGGTGCATGACAGCTCCACTGAATAAGCGAAACCTTTGTAACACAGTTGTTTACATTGAAATTACAAGTATTTGACCAAAGAAAAACCGGAGCAGGACTAAAGAGAGAGATAATTATGATTTAGATTTTTTTTCTGTGACTGCACGACCCACGGGAGACACGACATTAACAGCAGAAGTTATTTCATTCCTCGGCTTTAAAGCAAATTCTACAGCTGACGCTGCTAAAAATGACCTTTTTTTGTGGATCTCCGAGAGCCAAACTTCAATCTCTGAACTCGTAAAGTTGAATTAAACTTGCCAACATCTTGAGTAGCAGAAAGCCTGTTGAGGATGGAGAAGACGGCAGCTGCAGGCTTCTGCTCTTTGCTCCAGTTGCAAGAAAAATAGGATGGTCAGTGTGATGAAACACTTCGTCATCCAAGTCATCTTTGGAAACTTGAAGAAGCTGTAATGCAGTCTTTATTTTACAGTTAAAATATATGTTTATCATATAAAGTCTAATGTTACAACTAATCAGGGATCCCTTTAAAGACCTGCTAAAGAACAGAGAAACAGCTAAAAACGTGCAGGATAGTGGCTTTCAGGAACCAGAGTAGACAATTTTAAATAGTAAATCCCCAAATTGTAAGTTCTTACTTTCCACATTCTTTCATTGTGGTTAAAGCTTTACAAGATCTAGATCCTAAGAAATATGCTGAGTCGAATTACCTCCCTTTATTTTTGCCTTAATCCCATCATACACATGAAGCGAACACTATTAAAAGACACAAAATACGCCTCATTTTTATTTAATAGACCATTTCAGAAACATTATGGATCTGTGTTCAGCTACAGTAGTGTTYGTTGTCCCGAACCATTCTCCGCAGCTTGGCATTCAAGTCTTTCCACGGCTTAATGAAGCCACACAGAGAGATGCGCACTGTCCCGTCTGCTTCCAGCCAACCTACAGTTACARAAAGCACAAACAATGAGCTGCTATGCASAAATAGTTGTACATTTCACCAAAACTTTCTACCTGTGATAAGATACGCTTTTGCAGTGGTCAGAAAGACTCCACATGCTGCAGAGGACAGGGGAGTGTAGAGAGCATCAATATCCCAGTTAGGGCCTTTGAACACCTACCATAAGTCAAAAGAAAATTCAATTTAGTTCATTTGTATAGCCCCAAATAACAACAATTTTTGTCTCAGGGCACTGTACACAAAAACGATCAATCTAAAGCCAGCAGATTGTGTTGAATATCTGTTAAAGCTCTCCAAGGGCCGCAGTTCACGTCACTACTGACTTGGGAGTGTGCCGAAGCAGTCAACCAACTGGGGAGAGATAATAGTGTTACTGTTAAATGGGTACCAGGACATCCTGGCATTTATGGTAACGAGAGAGCTGACTTGCAAGAGCTGGCAGTCACCCACTTTAAAGGACCAGAGCCTGCTATGGGCGTTTCAACAACAATCTGCAGGACTGCCCTACAG